TGGGTAGTTGGAGAAGAGGCAGAGGAGGAAAAGGGAACTAGGAGGAGGGAGAAGGGGCGGGGGAGGGGGGGACCAGAACGAGGAGTAGGGTGAGGAGGGAGGAGGAGGAGGGAGGCGTGGCGTACACGTGCACGTCAAGCGGGTGACTGACGGGCACGTGCCGCCCCGGGGACTCCCCTACACATGTTTTACCATTATTAATGTTTTGGTACGTGTGTTTACGTGGCGCTGCCGTGTCCTCATCGTGTTGTCGATGTTTATCACACACTGCTAACACGGGTGTTTATCCAATAATTCATCAAATTGGTGAATCATCTAGTCAGGAGGGAGAGAGAGAGAGAGAGAGAGAGACACTGTGAGCTTGTTCCTACATTTTGTATTGATACAAATTGGTTGAGTGTCAGAGAATGAGAGAGACAGGCAGATAGACAGGAATATAAAGAGAGAGACTAAAGAAAGAAAGAGAAGGGCAGAAATAGAAAGAGAACGAGCCATAAAAAGAGACTAAGAAATATATAGAAGAGGAGTAAAAAGAAAGAAAGAAACAGGATGAGAAGAAAGAGAGGAAACATAGAAAGAGAAAAATTAATAGAAGAGAGAGAGTGCAAAAAAGAAAGAGAGAACTAGAGACGAAATAGTGACAAAAAGAAAGAGATAAAACATAAGAAAGAAAAAGAAAAAGAAAGAATAAAAAAATAATGGAACCAAACTCTCCGTAGAGAGTTTGGTTCTAAAAAAAAAAGTCAAAATCAAACAAGTGTCACAACCCCTGGTCAATAAAGTAAAAAAACACTTTATCATCACCACAGTCGACTAACTTATTCCTGAAGTGTTGCTACATTCCATGTTTCATTACGATCCTTCAAGCCTTTCTCACCTTGGACGGAAACGTATACTGACGGAGTGACAGACGGAGAGACGGAACGAGAGATGGATGGACAGACGAACAGAGAGGAGATGATCGGGTGGACGGACGGAAAGGTGGACTGAGAAAGCGGACAGAGAGTTGGAAGAATGAATGACCCTAATTAATATACCCTCACTCTCTACACCGGGAACACGAGAGAGAGAGAGAGAGGGGAAGGAGAGTGATAAAAATGCGAAACTGGCAAAATGCAAAAAAGACAGAAAGCTATTCAAATAGACATAATCCCTGTACTCACCTGTATTACATTGTATTCTATCTGTATTTCGCCTGCAAACACGACATCCTGTAACCAACTCATAACACCCGTGGTTGACCCTCTGCTAGTGAGGTGTTGATGCTCAGAAATATTGATCGACGTTACCGTGATGACATATGGTGTTGACTAGTCCCACTCGTTATGAGGAGGGCGTCCATACTAGTTTTGTTGTGTCTCTTGGAGCACTCACACACTCACGTTATTATTATTATTATTATTATTATTATTATTATTATTATTATTATTATTATTATTATTATGTACTCCGTGTACTTTAATTATTTTATGACATAATAATGTTTTTATAGAGGGATAGCATAAATCACACACAATAGCAACCAAGCAGCCAGTGTGTGTGCGTGTGTACAGTGTACACACACACACACACATATATATATATATATATATATATATATATATATATATATATATATATATATATATATATATATATATATATATATATATATATATATATATATATATATGTGTGTGTGCCTATGAAAAAAAATTATTATGTAAGAAGGAAAGGTTATCCACAAAGTTTAAAGAGAAGCTTTCAAACTTGCCACATTATGGTGATGATACTGTGCATGAGTTCTTATGGACATGTGTCTGTTAATATGTGCTTACTTACGTGTGTGCTTATCCCAAACAATTCACCGTTTAAATATTTTTCCCCATATCCCTCTGATTCCCTGAAAGTTCGATCGTAATGTGACTGCTGCAGTATAGTAAAGTTATCCACAAAAATAACTCGTTTTCTCTAACACTTTAAAAGAAAATTTTACGGGGTGACTATGTCTTATTATATATGTAAATAAAAATATCTTTACTTTAACATTTACAGTCTTACTTTATCCTCTTCGCCTTTGATAAACCTGTTAGTAGGCTTACTCTGCAATACTTTTATCCCCAGATCATCGTAAAGTCTTTAAATACAGTATAATAACTACGTTGAAGTTAGAAATATATGAAAACAGTTTTATACCAGAAAAGTTATGAAAGTAAATTTGAATGTTTATATACACTGTACTCTTGTCAATAGCAACTTTTCAGTGTGTGTTTAACTCAGAAAGATATGAGGCGAAATATAACGCAAGAGCTTCCAAAATGAAACATGAAAACCAATTTATACCTTCGCGTCCGATGGTGCCATTAAACATTTTTCTGATGATCATCAATTTTTGTCCCAGCCTCAGCATAGCCTTACCTGACAATGCCACCATTGCCCTCCACTCTTTTGTAGTGGAGGAGATCAAGAACAACTTTAATATATAACCCAGGATATAAAGCTGCAAAGTTGAACATACAGGCAAGTACAGTGTTACGTTAGCCATTGTCTTATCATCTATATTAAGTCTCCCTCTTCTCTTCTGAATTTATTTTATGTTATTTAGCTAAGGTAGACTTTTTCATCTCGCTTTTGTAGAAGTCCTCATGTTGTCGACAATTAGGTTGTCTTCTTTTTTTTGTTCAACTGATTATTCTGAGGAGTGACGGAGGGTGTTATTCATCTCACTCTCAGTTGAATAATTACCTCATTCATATGTTCAAGGTAATCAATAGCTCTCATAAGGTCTCTGTCTCTGCAGGTCACAGTTGTCAAACACTTCAGTCTGGAGTTGCATCAGAAAGTCGCTACCTGACGTGAGGGAGGTGACGTCATCAGACACAGGTGGGAATGAAAGCTGAAAGAAATTTATATAGCAGTAGTTTTTATTGGTTTATCGTTAATAAATAACATTATCTTTCACAATCTTTTACTCTACTATTTGATTTGTGTACATACGTCTCTTTCCTGGATATTGTTGATAAGGAGAAATATCTTGGCGTTGTAATGGATCATTCACTGAAGACGGCACAAGAAGTTGGGACAACAGTGAGGAAACCAAATCTAGATTTGGGAAATATAAGACGTACCTTTAAACACGAAGATAGGAAAATGCTCCTTCAACTGTACAAATCTCAAGTACGTCCCGGTCTGGATTACTGCATACAGGCATGGAAACCCTACATCTAGAAAGATCTAACATCCTTAGAAAATGTGCAGCAAATGTGCAGCACTAAGATGATTCCGGAACTACTGTATGTCATCTCGATTATCCAAGTAGACTGAAGGCCTTAGGACTAACAACCCTTCAGACAATGCACAACAGGACAGACTTCATTGAAACATTCAAAATCCTGAAAGCGATGGAAAACGTTAGCCGGGGCATTTCTTTGTGGTGTCACGCACCGCCAACAAGAGGGGACATAACTATAAGCTGGCCAAGTTGTCATGCAGAATGAATATAAGGAAATACTTCTTCACACAGAGGCTGGTAGACCTATGGAACGGTCTACCGGCCCAAGCTGTGGAGCCAGGAACAGTCCTAGGCTTCAAAATAGCCCTTGACAAAATTATCAAGAACAATGGACCTACACAGGCCACAGGCCTCCTTCCCTCGGTATGACCACCTCTATGAGTGACCATTAGGTAAATAAAGTAAATATCTTCTCATTCATCCTTACTGAAGACTTTTGTACATCATAATGATAACAGGGAGACAACATACACATTCATTCTTTTTATATTTTTACTTTACATATATATTAGTGAGATTTGAGCAAAATATGTTATCACAGTATCATGTAAGTTTTATACGATATGATAGTAAATATGAACAAGACTAAGCTTAATATATAATGAGAATACTTCACGTTTTCTTTATTATTATAGTTAGACGTTAGGAAGGTACACATCCAGGCTCTAACGCATTTGTGTATTCTTAAGGATAGTGCGATAAGCATGTGGTATATGTATACTATGTATAGCCTAAAGTTTATCTCTATACTGTATATATATTGTATATAATTATTGACGAGAGTGTTCTGGACGCCGTGACGCCTGTCAGTGTCATAACGAACATGCATACATACATACATACATACATACATACATACATACATACATACATACAAGAGATGAAATAAAACTTGTCTTAACTTTATGGTCCACAAAGAATATAAACAAAAAACAGAACATTTAAACGAAAAATCAACTCACTGACAACGTGTGTTCTTGGATATGATCATAAAGGAAGAAAATTTTATAAAATCAGAAACACGTGAAATACAGACGACTAGGTAAAAATAGACACACTCTTATGAACAGGTTAGCAAACAGAACTAGAGCTATTATCAGTAGACGGGACACAGCCAGTCATGGTACATTCCGGTTTGAGTGACCTAGCAGAGGTGTAGTGGCATGGAGGGAGGAGAGGTGACGGAGAGGGTGGGCTGAGGAGCAATATAAGAGAGGGACGGGGTGACACTAATTCACTAAATTTTGCCATATAACGTAATATATTCGTATAAATTATCCAGCTATAAAGTAGTTAATTATTTATCGAGTATTAGAATATTAAACTCAGATGTGGCACAATACTGGTAAAGTTACAACAGCAGGCCATGCAGCTTATGAATCTTCACTCACACCTATATAGTATGTGTGAGTGAAGATGTGCGGCCTGTGTCCAGAGCTTCAACCATTTGTGTGATCCTAGGATAATTAACTCTGGCGGACTATGGGCGTTAGTGCGCATCTCACGCCTTTATTAGTTTACACGACTTTTTTGATCTGCCAAGTGCCTATTTAATAGTTAGTAATTGTATTTTTCAACTGTATCAAATGCATTGCAATACACAGTCCACGACCCCAAGAGGTAGCTGAACCATCCCGACCAAGGTGAGAAGTGTGATCCTCGTGAGGGTCGTGGGGGTGAGGGGGTTACTTGCGTTTACTGAGCCAGAACACCCAGTAGCACAAGTTACCCATGAAGAAGATGAAGGGGAAGACCCGTAGACTCCACTGTTCCACACGGACCGCCCACTTCGTCCACTCCTGCTCCGCCGCTGCCTGGGTCGTCGTCGTCGTCGTTGCCGTCGTCGTCGCCGCCGTCGTCTCGCTCTTCTCGATACTCTGCGACACAGTAAAACAACACTATGAGGCGATAACACTCACTACCAGTCACTCCTGATGTTCTGGACGTATGACACAACTACCACAGTATATTGTTCCTTACTCATAACAGCGCCAGGACACAGGAGTCACCATCAGTCCCCACCTCACACACACACACACACACACACACACACACACACACACACATATGAACGTTCAGAAAATACGAGTATATATCGTCCTGTTCTACCTCTATACGTGTGTGCTGTGAGGTGACAACAGAACACGACATTTATCAAGACAGATGCTACTTTTGTTGTCCTTGGTGTGTAGTAAGACCACAACATCAATAATAATGTAATAATATAAACAATCACTTGACTTATACTCTCAAACCAAACATAACTTTAAAAAGAAAATTTCGTTGAGGTGATACAAGGAGATCCACTTGAAATCTCTGTACCAGAACTGTATTTGGGAATTGATAATGTGAACACGATGAATTACAACGGAAGGAACCAACAATTAAAGAAACGCACATACAGGTACCACAACATACAGGTACCACAACATACAGGTACCACAACATACAGGTGAACATACAGGATGAATTACAACGGACAGGTACCACAACTTACAGGTAACAATTATACAGGTACCACAACATACAGGTACCACAACATACAGGTACCACAACATACAGGTACAACATACAGGTACCACATACAGGTACCACAACATACAGGTACCACAACATACAGGTACCACAACATACAGGTACCACAACATACAGGTACCACAACATACAGGTACCACAACATACAGGTACAGGTACCACAACTTACAGGTACCACATACAGGTACCACAACATACAGGTACCACAACATACAGGTACCACAACATACAGGTACCACAACATACAGGTACAACATACAGGTACCACAACTTACAGGTACCACAACATACAGGTACCACAACATACAGGTACCACAACTTACAGGTACCACAACTTACAGGTACCACAACTTAAGGCCTGAGTTACATTTAATTCACCGAACTGCAACAATAAGAAACAGATAATACAGCATAATATATATACTGTATATAAGGTATACGTCTTAACATCGTCATTAGTTAATCATTAAACAAATAAAGTCTTTTTGAAGGGATGGTACAGGAAGATTTTCAATATCTAATTCCTTATTGATGCAGTAAGTAAACCAACACAGGTGGGAGAAGGTGACACAGCAACTCACCTGTAGGTAATGAGAATAAACAAAACACCCCCCCCCCCCAAGTATCTCTATTTAGGGGTCAGATGAATTTTAAAATGAACACTGCGACGCCTGTTGTCTCGGTAAGGTCATCAGTGACTTGTTACCCACACACAAAATGGGTAAAGATACTTTTTTGGAGCAGTTCATTTACATTTACATGCACACATCTCGTATATAATAGCCAAAACACTATACATAATGAGAAAGCCAAGACTATAGTAAAAAAAAATAATAATAATTATTGGTAAAGATTCAACTAGACACACCTGACTTGTTTCTGATAACCAAAACCAGAAGATCACAGGTAAGACTATTTGAATTGATTTAAAGGTATAGATTATTGATGATATACACATATACAGACATAATACATATACACACATATATATATATATATACACACACATATACACATACATATGCAACAAAAGACAGTGAATGGTGAAATAAGGACATGCATATGAGGGATATTCGTATATGCATCACTTCAGTAGGGAAATAGAGAGAGAGAGACGAATAAAGAATAAAGATGTTTGAGAGGAATAGTATTTAGACAGTAAACAATAAAAATAAAGAAAAAACATAAAAAACAGACAAAGAAGAGATAGATAAAAGGGGAAACAATAATACAAGGGACAAACAACACGTCTTGACACCTTGACACCAATAGTTAATTAGCCAGACAGGTGAACACGTAAACAAGAGGGCCAAACTAAAACCCGGACCCGACCGACTTTTTGTTTTTCTATCACCGTGGGTTAGGTTAAGTTAGGTTAAGTTAGGTTAGGTTAGGTTAGGTTAGGTGGGGTTAGGTTAGGTTAGGTTAAGTTAGGTTTAAGTAAATTGAATAAGTTAGATAAGTTAAGGGTTGTTCTTGTTGTTATATTAGGTTAGGTTTCAGGTCCGGGTATTAGCGAGTCCCTTATTGAGAGATGAAAAGAGACTCACCTTGACCAACACCAGAGGAGGAAACTCGTGTGCAGGTGCGATCTAGACAAAACAACACAAGTCATTCAACACCACAAACACAACTCACCACAAAATATATACAGTATAGTGTTTCCTTTTTGTTTTATTTTGCTTTGTTTTGTTTTGTTTTGTTTTGTTTTGTTTTGTTTTAGTTTAAGTTTTCGACCAATTTTCGATATATTTATTTTTGTGAGTCGGCAATTTTCCTTTTCGACCGTGTGGGTTGGCCAGGTATACATGGGTAGTTAGCTGGACTCTGAGGGAATTAAGTTGAGGGGGGAGGGGGAGATTACTCTTAAGTTTCGCGTCTGTGTCTATCTGAATCGGCTCACGGCTCTATAGTTGACGGTGGTAGACAAATCCTCTACAATCCACACATTATATAGAACAGACTGTGGGCAGGTTCAGGTATCGTGTGGCAACGTATATTTTTAGATTTTGGAAGAGTCGTCAACTAACAAGGCTACATCATCTCCCCTGGGACACTTAAGGGAAGACCTGAAAAATTTTTCACTGATTGTACAATGTTTTTTTCATCCTTTGTTCGACCTTATGTGTCTCGTCGGACGTGACTGTACTGACGATGTAAATTTTTGTGTCAGGTAACTTTACTGTAATGTGTCCGTGAGTCTCCTCTGTTACCTCGACAATATTGAAACAAAGAAATAAAGGACAAGCACCTCTGGACCGTGAACCCACAAGGCATATGAGTCGAGTACATGTGGGTGGCGTCACATGAATTATTGGGAAGTTGTAAGTCAAGTTTGTTGTTCATTCGGGCAACACTTCACAACTGAATCAGATATTACCTGAACCACACCCGTAGGCGGCGCTACTGAACCACATGTAATGTTACGAAACGGGACACTTCTGTCTTAATTGACTCTCGTCGAGTTGACCGCCCGTATAGGCCCGCCCTCGAGTTAGTCGTCTGAGTTCATGAACTTTTGTTGAACTGAGTTTAGAATTATTATGTCGCAAGATTCATCAGTATGAAAAAAGAAAGGGGGGGGGGTGTGCTGGAAAGATAAAGCACAAGTGAAAATAAATTAGAACTGAGGAAAGTCCTATTTCAGATCCAGGATATTATCAAAAGTCATTTCGAAATCAAAAGATAATTGAAGATGACAAAAAAAATTCCCTTTGTGGGTTGAAAGGTAAATCACCGACCCACACAAAACTGTTGAGGATTTACCTTAAAATCTGTATTAATTTCTAATAAAATGACTTAGCCCCTGAGTACACTGTCGCCTTACTCATGGGAATCATCGTATTTATAATGTTGAAGACGATTTCCCCAAGGGGTTAAGTCAAGAAGCTAAGAAACAAGATAAAAAATAAATCACGTCTATAAAAGCATCAACCTCTCCTCTCTACTGAAGGGAGTATCATTAAGGTTCAAATTAGCTCTACCGTCTTAAGTCTTGTTTGCTGATGAGATCTGTACAGCAAGTTTGTTTTGTAGAATGTGGATAAATTGGTGGATGAGGGAGTAAGTTAATGAGTTAGATCACAAGAATCAACTAAATCTAACGTGACCAAACAACCCTAAAGTAGTTTTGTTTAGGTTAAGGATCATTAGTTCTCGTAGCGTGGATCATGGGTGGTGTCAGACCAGCTTTTTTCCTCGCTCCATCAGAGGATTTTGATTCAATGCAGGAAATATAAAAAAAAATGGTAGGGGAACTAAATTGAATCTCCATTATGTGCAAAGTTGACCACAGTATAAGGAGCATGCTGGCCATGGGGGTCATCTTCCATCTGTGTTAGACAATAATATGCTTAATAAAAATTATAAAAATTCATTTCTGTAATAAAGATTATTTGCTCAGTACTGGTTGGTTACTTCTCTCACTTTTGAAACAATTCATCTGCACTACTTTACATAAAGCGTTACTATATTCACTGTAACAAATATAACAATTAGTTGGCTATATATGTTAAATAAATAGTATTATTATTTCTATAAGCATAAATAATCTAATTATAAAAGAATTAACAAAGTCTCAACCATCACAGTAATAGGGCCAGTTCTTTCTGCATTTGTTACAAGATAAGTTCCCTGCATCACAATGTGTGTGAAATAGATGAATGAATTACTAAATATATAAAGAACAGATAGATGGAATAATGAATAAGGAAATGTACTCAGAGATCGGACGCATATGACAAATTCACCTGTGGGAATCTTATTAATAAGTGTCACGACCACAATTCTGAGAGATTCTTATGTTATATTATGGCCACTAAGTATATCATAGCTAAATGTTGTTACTTCTTGTCGCTTAAGGGAAATTTTCTGTGCGAATCTTTTAGACTCTGGCCTCAGGGTTACTCTAATTTCCTTGTGTACAGCATTGAACGCAAATATACGTGACCCCTGTATCCAGATCTCGACTAGATTCCTCCTGTGAATCTTCATGATTTTGATCGTGACTCGAAATGATCTTGGAAAATTTCTCATGATCAAAACGCAGATCCTGACACGAGGGGAGCTGACTACACTATCTAGGAGACTGTTCCAGGGGTTGACCATTCTGCTCCTGAACTGTTTCTGTCTCATCTGTGTTTGGTGTATTTCCTTGTAAAGCTTCATCTCATTTCCTCCGATGATTCCTTCTCTAACTAGCAGCTTGGTTGATACCTCTTCGTCATATTTCTCGTTCATAATCTAATACACATCTTTCATATCTCCTCTGAGGTGGTGGTATATCAGTGTTGGTAAATTAAAATGATATATGGAGATGCTGGGTATCGATCCCCGTACCTCTCACGTGATAAGCGAGCGACCCACTATTTGCACTACATCCCCTGGTTAAAAGACACCATTGAAGTATGTCTGTTTTTAGCAATCCTGAGTAAACTGTCCCCACTGAGCAGTCAATGAGGATTTACTTTAATTCTTTGTAACCATTTGTGGTTACGAGTTGCTTTATTATATCGAGAGACACTGCCAGCCCCCCCCAACAACAACAATATCCCTCTCACACCAGCTATCTCCCCTCTTAATTTCTCCTCCTGCCAGGTGCCCCGCCCCTCGCCCACCTCCCCTCCCCCTCGTGACAGTGCCAAGCTTGCTCTCCATACCCGTTTCTTCAGCTTGTTGACCCCGGGACTCGAGGAACCCTCCGAAGAAGACGTCAGGTTCCTCGCTCGCTCCATGAACACAGGACTGGACACACTGTGGTTGGTGTAGGTGGTGGCGGTGACGCTGGCGGGGAGGACGTTTGTGGGACGATGAGTGGCGATGGCAGTGGAGTTGAGAGGTGCAGTGGACGCCTTCTTACGAGATGCTCTCCGCCTCCCCAACTCGTAGAGGCGGAGGACGACGGTGAACTCCACCAAGACGCAGAAGACGAACACCACACACATGATCATCCACTGGTCTACTGCCTTCGCGTACGACACCTTCGGGCTCTCCTGCCTGTAGAAGACACCAACACTAACAGACAGAGAGATAGGAAGGCAGACAGCTAGACAGACAGAGACAAGAAGGCAGACAGCTAGACAGACATAGAGACAGGAAGGCTGGTAGGTAGACAGACAGAGAGACAGAAACAGAAAAACAGACAGCTAGACCTAACCCAATCTGTCCTAATCTAACCTGACCCAATCAATCCTAACCTAACCTAACGAACACAGCCCACTTTACCTGACGGCAGCGAACATGGAGACGAGAGTAAGCAAGGTAGTGATTGTCAGTACCATACGGCCGGGGATCTGGTCGACAGGTACGAGGAACGTGAGCCACGACACACACACGAACAGACCCGACGGCAGGAAGGTGTTCATCAGATGGTAGCTAATACGTCGCTTCAGCACCACCTCCACCATCACCGTCGGGAAATGACCTACGCCCGGTGAACGAGTATTAAACTAAGGACAAGGGAACACGCTTTAAAGGATAGGTGATTAGATGTTTGTGAAAGACAGGGATTATTATTATTATTATCATTTTTATTATTATTATAAATACTACTAATCATCATAATTGTCATTGTTATTATCACTACAGGTAAGACTGATTAACCTGTCCATACCTGTAGAGTGAGATACGTTCTTCTGTTGTACGCTGTAGAAGTCAATATCATAGTGACCTGAGGCGATGTTCTCCGCCCTCTCTATCTCCGCGCTGTACCACTTATAGGAAACCTGCAGTGATGTGAACTGATCTGTTGGGGACAAAAGGATCAAGAGAGGTCTAATGGAAGTCAAATTTGGATAACTTAGGAAGGATTAGGGTGAGGGAATAATAAATTAGGTAAAGTTGGGTTACGTTAGATTAGATATGTTTGTTATGCTAGATTAGGTTACGTAGGATTAGGTTAGGTTACCTTAGATTAAGATAGATTAAGTAATATTAGATTAAGCTAGGTTAAATACGGTTAGGTTAGATTAGGTTACCTAAGGTGAGATTATGTTACGTAAGGTTATATTAGGTTTGGTTAGTGTAAGTTAGACTAGGTTAAGTCAAGTTAACTGAAGTTGGGTTAAGTTAACTTAGTTTAGTTTAGGTTAGGTTAGGTTAGGAGCGACAGGTGATTAACATGTGTATATATCAGTACTTACAGCTCTCCATCTTGAAGTAGCACACCTGACTGTCGAAGGGGTAAGCGGAGAAGTCCATGGGGCAAGAGATTCGTGTGGTGACCCTGTAAGACGGGGTGCTGTGAGGGAGACTGGTAGGGTATCTGTCTCTCTGTCCTTTTCTATTTATCTATCTATCTATCTATCTATCTATCTATCTATCTATCTACCATGCCACGTTACAAAACACGCCTGTGAGTTACATTATTAAGCACTGCAGTGGAATGTTGGTCGTAGTTTGAAAATGAAAATCTTGAATTGCTATGATAAAAAATCCCAACCGTGTCCTCCTCCCTCTCCTCCTTCTGTGCCCGGGTGGGTTATTCCCCATACAAAAATTACTGTTCACCAGCCAAATGTTGTGTAATTACGCAAAAGAAAGACAAAATACGTCATATTTTACAATAGTTTTAGACAACGCAGTGTCATCACCCTAGATCCTGGAGAGCCCTATACAACCAAACAGAGGAACATGCACTACACAGAGGAACGTCAAGGAATGGGTGGGCTGAGAAGTTGAGGTGTCAGCACGACTTATTTTATTATCCTGAGTTACCTTACGCTTTTTGTACTCAGCAATCTTATCAATTTTGAGGTGACGATCACAGGAAAAGGTATGGAATGGGTCATACAGCCCTGGATTTTTTTTTCTTTTGATCATTTGGGTTTGGTTACATGTTTTCCAACACTGTAGTCTCTTCTTCATTCTAACTATGCTTACCGTCTGGTTGTCGCTCTGTACTAGAACACATTATTTGACATATTTTCGTTACGTTTTTCTCAACATTTGTCTCAGTAGTTCCTTTATACCGTGCCTCAGTTTAATTTTCTTGGGGATGAGAATGGCGTTTGTAGTTCTAAATATGTATTTTTTTTTATTGACACCAAATTTTAAGTGTTTCTTCCATATAAATACAATTTCCAGTTTATTGAGCAAAATAGAGGCCCCTTTGGAGGACTATATCTCTCCGTAATACCACATCTCAGGGTTAATGTAAGTATTTCCTCATCTTCAGTCAAGAAACAATAGAAGTGTTTGATATAAGACATGACGAGACATTCCCTTGAGATATAAAGGTGGCGATTGGAACATAAGGGAAGGGGAGGACATTGTATAGTGTTACAGTGTTGTTATGTAAACGTGTAGTACTGGTGGTGGTGGTGTAGTGAACATGTACAGTAATGGTGGTGTTGTTGTAGTGAACCTGTAGTGAATGTGTATTTTTAAGAACTGTATTAATCAGAAGACTTTAGCGTACTTTGTCTGTTAGTCTTTTCACGGTCCAGGGCCCTCCAGAGGCTAGTGCCCCCGTCATATTTTCCACCCTGAGTTGAGATATATTGATAGACAGTTAGGTTGAGAAATATACATTCATACAATTTAGTACAATCATCTATACTTACATACAGTATTCCTTAATAATAATAATAATAATAATAATAATAATAATAATAATAATAATAATAATAATAATAATAATAATAATACACCAATTACACACAAAACCTACCAACGAGGAACTTTCATTAAATAATACCCCCAAAAATTTCCACGTTTTATTATGCAAATTAAAGGGTTAAATTAAGGAGCTACGTGGGAAGTCCATTTGCAGGAAATAATTAAGGGTGTGATTATTCTGTTTGAGAAATTATGTAATTACTTTAATGATGAAATCTTTAGGTGTTTGTGTCAGAGAAAATAGTTGACGCGCTTTCTTTTCTGATTCTTTTTTGTTTTGTTTATCTTGTTTTGTTATTTTTAGGCTACAACGCTCGCCTCCTGTTCCAAGGTTCGATGGTTTGATTCCCCGACCCTCCTAGTTTATCCAGCTGTGAGTGAGTGTACCTGAGCTTACTTCATCGTCGTCTTCTTTTTTTCTAATTCTTCTTCTTTTCTTCTTCGTCTTCTTCTTTTTCTTTTTCTTCTTTTTCTTCTACTTCTCCTTCTTCTTCTTCTTCTTCTTCTTCGTCTTCTTCTTTTTCTTCTACTTCTTCTCCTTCTTCTTCTTCTTCTTTTTCTTCTACTTCTCCTTCTTCTTCTTCTTCTTCTTCTTCGTCTTCTTCGTCTTCTTCTTTTTCTTTTTCTTCTACTTCTCCTTCTTCTTCTTCTTCTTCTTCTCTATCGACTGTGTCCTCTTTTCTTTTTTCTTCGTTTATCTTAATTCCAATTTCATCCTCGCCTTTTTGTTTTCTCATTCTTGTTCTCTTCCTCCTTCCTAATTTTTCTTTCTATTCCTCTCTTCCTCCATATTCCCCCTTCTCTTCCTCCTCCTCGTCCTCTTCTTCGATTTCCCTCTTCTCCTTCTCATCCCTTTTCTCTCCTCCTCCTCCTTTCTTCACCATTTCCTCCTTTATCCTCTTCCTTTCCCTACCACCTCCTCCTACCCCTTTAGATTTCACTGAATGATTGTTGCGTATCTTGGCGTATATAAACATTGCTTTGGCGTATCTAGCAAGTGACGCACGAGGTTCTGTTACAGCAGGTACAGTACAGTACTTCAGGCTGATGGCGTTCTTAAAGTTTGATGAGGCGTCGCGAAATATAGACAGAAATCCGATAGGTTGGGTTGGGTTGGGTTGGGTTGGGTTGGGTTGGGTTTGGGTTGGGTTGGGTTGGGTTGGGTTGGGTTGGGTTGGGTTGGGTTGGGTTATTTTAGGATAGGTTTGTTTAGGAGAGGGTACACTCATAAATACATACACACACACACATATATACATACACAAATACATACACACACACAATTACTTACACACTCAAACACACACACACACAAAAAAAACATACACATACACTCTAGGTATTGAAGACAGATACAAATTGTATTAAGTAATTATTCCTTGATATAAGCCTGGCCGTTTTGAAATACCCCCCCCCTAAAAATAAATAAAATAAATAAACAAGACGATTATTTATTACTCAGAAAAATATAAGTAATTTAATAACTAAATAATTCAATAGAGGTAATATTTTAGAGAGGAATAAACAAACAACAAAGACGTTATTGAACAAATAATCACCTGAATAAATTAACAGGTACGTAACTTCTTAAAAGTTCCAAATACAGAAATTAATGAGTGACCACCGAGACGAACATATCGATCCTAGTTGCCAGAAGGTATATAGTTTGTTTATTTATTTAGAGTCCTTTGTTTTAGCAGGAGAGAGAGAGAGAGAGAGAGAGAGAGAGAGAGACTACCCGTGTTAATTTTACACTCAGCTGACACTATTGAGTTACGAGAGCATGAGTGACGCTGTTGAGTTACGACGACTGAAAAGACTTACAATGGCATTTTCTCTTTTCTTCTTTTTCTTTTTTTTTCCTTTTATTACTCTTTCTCCTCCTTCTCTTCATACACCTCCTCATCCACCTCTCTATCTTCTTCTTTTTCTTCTTCTTCTTCCTATTACTTCCCCCAATCAACGTCTCGACAGCACTTACACTAATAACAACACCAATAATAACCACACTACACAAAGACACTAATTCCAGTTTATGTTCACTAAATACCATCCATTAGAATTTAGTCAATATAATCACCTTCCTTCAGTAACATCCACCAAAAATTAAGTCGAATTTATTGGAATTTGATAAGTATTTCGATTTATTTTTATTTTTTAGTGGTGGAATTTTTCATCTACCTAAGAGTTATTCGTAAGTAAATATACCTGTGTCTCATTAGTATTGATTGGAGGTAACGTATCAATTTATCGTATTGTCTTAACCTGAGGCCCACACGCTCACGTCTCTTGTCACTATATTAGTTATGCTTATTATATATTGATGGTGAAGGGTCAGTATTTACACACACACACGCGAGCGAAGTACGTAAACATACAGACACGCACACACACACACACACACACACACACACACACAACAGGAAAATGCTCTGCTGTGTACGACTATTATATTGAAGAATGAGTTTATTTTCAGCATTGCAACTCGACACACATATATATATAACCAATGCCACTGTCATGCACGGTTGATGACGTTGTACTCATTACACGACACCACCCAGACGAGATACTACCAGAATAAACAGGAGACGCACATACCAGCAAACAATGCCATGCACTTCTTGTTTAGTTATCAAGGTCATTATTGTTGTTTTTTTTTTGGGGGGGGGGGAGCACTAAGACAGCACCTCTCGGTTTTATGTGACATATTAAGTAATTTAACCCTTCGTTTTGGTATAATTCTCTGTTGTGCCATCATTACTTGCGTGGTTCTGAGTGCCACTAGTAACTCACGGGACATATCAAGCAAGGCATGACACCTCTTTGCTTGGTTGTATGTCATCAACGAAATAAAATGACAAGTTAACATGGCATGACACTTCTTGTTAACATGGCATGACACTTCTTGCTTGCGGTCGTATGTCATCAACGAAATAAAATGACAAGTTAACATGGCATGACACTTCTTGCTTGATTCCTACACTCACACCTCTATATATACCTGACGACCAACACTCAAACAATGATAACAAGTGATAGCGCCTTCTGTCAACTCACTCTTACCTTTTACTTCTGGACATAAAAAGAAATCATAAAAAATCACGATACAACTTTCATAATTTCCAACTCAGTAAATATGAAGACGATCGACCAGACAAACACACTAACATCGACGTCAAGTAATTTATTTTTTAAATTTTCACGACGTCTGCTCTCTTTCCCTCTCTCTCTCTCCCTCTTTCTTTCTTTCTCTCTATCACATCAATTCTCTCTTGCGATAAAACTCATCCAACCGACACTAGAAAACAAACACACACACACAATTCCTTGTAAGACACTTTAATATTCAGATACATAAACACGCAAGAAATAAGACAAATTTTGATAATATATACCAGACACTCACTTCAGAAACAAGAATCAGAATTTACGTAAAAAACACCAGCGAATATTCAGTGGTACATTATGGGGAAAAATACCTGAATTTCAAGACCATTGTAAATAGAGTATAACAAAGATATTTTATACATTGGGTGTTAATATTCTAAAAATAGTTCAATAATGTACAGGTGTGGAGCGGAAAAGTTTGGCAAGGAGGGATCGTACGGTGCACCTGCCTCATAATTAAACTAAAAAGATCAATATGTGACTCTTTTAATCGTCACACCTCTATGTAACGTTGTAAAGTCTCCAATAACCCCATACCTTCCCATACACCTGTACACCACCTGCCTGCCTGCCGAGTTCTTTTGTCCACAACTGTACTGTACCTACGCTGACCTAACCTAACTTACGCATAACCTAACCTAACCTAACCTAACCTAACCTAACCTAACCTAACCTATACCTAACCTCAAAAATAATGAAACCTACTAACGTAATTAAGCAAGATAATAGTTTAAGCTTTAATTAAAATTCAGGTTTGGGAAAAAAAATTAACTTGAGTTGTATCACACACTTCTACAGCTATTGAATCACTGTGTACCTATTGCAGTGATTGTACCCGAGTGTAATATGTAATTTATCAAGTGTACATTACAGCATGTTACGTGTATACTGCATTACTACCACGGTTTTACAGTATATATCACAATAACAAAGGTTGGTGAAATGAGCTAACAAATCTCAAATGTTTTAGTCTTGTGTTTAAATTAGCCTTGAGATTACTTATATTTTGTATATTATAATGGTAAGTCAATTGTCCTGATCTATTGAAACAAAAATAAATACAGACTGCAAATTACAAGCAGGAATTTCTGGGAGTGAGTGTCCGAATTAAGATAGAATATTCACACACACACACACACACACACACACACTGCTGTTATCGTCGTCCAACCTAACCTAACCAATCGACCGTAAAGTATGAAGGAATCTAGACGAGCAAACATAACTTAATGATTCTTATAGAGAGGATGAATAGCCTTGATTGAGAGTGTGTGTGTGTGTGAGAGAGATTAAAATTTTTAACTTATGACCACAACCTTCGTGACCAGAGGACTCGGTAACATAAATTAAACATTACATCAGGGTATTTTAGCTCAATAGTGTTAATATCATAAATAATTCTCTTAGTCATATATACAATATATATATATTTAATGTACACTATTACTCTCTTTATAAAGATTTACGTCTAAAATCGATAAATTACACTGAATTACCTCCCATCCAATCCATCCCTCATTACCCTCCCCCCTACCCCCCTCCTTTCCCCCACCCCCCTCCTTTCCCCCACCCCCTCCTATCCCCCACCCCCTCCTCTTCCCATCCCACCTCCTTTGGCCAGTGAAGGTGAAAGACCAATGGCGTGTTTGTGACTTGATGACGTGACCTTAGCGATATCAGTTCTTGGTATTGTGTCTAAAAAAATTTTTAATAAGTAAATAAAATAAATAAAATAAATTAACGATGAGCATTTCTCGTAACTGAAGACATGGTTGATAAACACATACAAGAAGTAAGTATGGTATGCTGGCAAATGGCCATAACAAACGAAATATTATAGTAAGATGGTCGACCCACAGGTATGTCTGCCACTGTGTAAACAAAACTCAGCTGATTTCGTGACGTTATGTGTGTCTGTACCAATATACACATCTGGGTCCCTGGTCTTGTTACGTGGCGGAGTATTTCTGGGGGAGGGGAGGGGGGGTTATACTCTGTCACGAATATGAGGAGAAGGAGGCGATATTTGTGTGTGAAAAAGGTGTGTTTGCTCTCTCTCTCTCTCTCTCTCTCTCTCTCTCTCTCTCTCTCGTTGGTGATTTACGACTGACAGCTAGTGTTGATGTTGTTAGATTTTCAAGTTTCTCATTCAGTGACTTATATATAACAAATATATTCATAACACCTATATATCAACTAACACTTAACACTGTCATGGTACCTCAGTGCAGTCATTAACAGGTGAGATAATAGAATGTATGATGATGATGATGATGATGATGATGATGATGATGATGATGATGATGATGATGATGATGATGATGATGATGATGAGGAGGAGGAGGAGGAGGAGGCGGAGGATGATTACAATAATGATAAAGACGATTCTAAATAATAATAATAATAAATGTTAATAATGACATTAATAATGACAATAATGATGACAATGACGATGATAATGACACGGGAGATGGAGAACGAGATGGAGGAAAGGAGGAGGAAGGACTTACGAGATGGAGTATCGTATGAGTCCGTTGTTCTGCATCCTGAAGGACTCGGCCTTGAGTAGGAGGGTCGGCTTCGTCACCTCCTTCACGTGATCTGCCGAAGGATAAAAGTAGATCTTGGGATGTACACACAGAGACGAGCTGGAGTGTACATGGGACTAACAAGGATGCACATAGGACTAACTGGAATGTAAATTGGACCAGTTAGGATGCACATAGGACTAACTGGGGTGTACAGGCACTAGCTAAGATGTACAAAAGTAATAAAAGTACATACGACCACCAAAAGTATATACAAGATAGCGTACATCCATGTTCTGTTAAGTATACTCAGTTTTTACACGAGACCATCTTTCAAGACGAAGTGAGTGCGCAAAACTTAGAATGTCCAGTTGTCTATACCTGCATTAAGGTGATGTTCCGTGACAGATACTGTAAATTTCCCCGAACACTTGACAATATGTGACCTTTACATCTGGGTCACATATCTCATTTATTGGTGTCTAATATATTAAATTGGAACTACAAAATGGAAGAAAAACACTCCTTAACAGAAAGAGAAATCTTCAAGTACTTACATGCGAGGTAATGTTGTCATGTGTCCAGGGGATTTTGTCCACAACAGTACAGATGTGAGTTTGCGGGCTTAACACACTCTTACCATGGCAGTGTAGTTCTTTTGGCAACACTGATACCATGAAATATTTAACATTAACATCTGGAGTGTGTGTGTGTGTGTGTGTGTGTGTGTGTCTGTGTGGGTGTGTTTCAGCGTTTATCTACGTAAAATTGGCTTTGGTGTCATGTTATAAAAAATCTAACTATATCCAGTGTTAATTCATATTAAATCAAGGTTGCTGAATTTCCGCGCCCTTTATCTATCCTGTCCTTGTTATTAACCCACTAGACATGTAACTTATCGTGAGAAATGGTGTTGTGTTGTGTTGTGTTTTGTTGTGTTGTATTGATGGCAAGAAATATATGTAGTAGCTTCATTTAATTTGGCTGATGGTGAATAGTAAGTTTGTATGACTGTATCCGTACAAGACACACACACACACACACACACACACACACACACACACACACACACACACACACACACACACACACACACACACACACACACACACATCGGACGTCAAATTCCCTTCTTCTCCCCTCTCTCCCTCTTCTTCTCTCTCTCTCCTCCTTCTCTCTCTCCCTCCTCTTCTTCTCCCCTCTCTCCTCCTCTTCTTCTCCCCTCTCTCCCTCCTCTTCTTCTCCCCTCTCTCCCTCCTCTTCTTCTCCCCCCTCTCCCCTTCTCCTCCCACTCCACCCCAAGCACTGCCTGGAGGACCTACCACACCCTCACAGCGACTCATTCATAAAATATATACACCTTGAGTCGCTGGAGTCAGGGTCAAGCGACGTACCATTATTCAGAACCAAATTTTTGTTTCACACTTTTGCTGTAGATTAGGTTAGGTTAGGTTAGGTTAGGTTAGGTTACAAGACGTTACTACCAGATATCCACAAATTACTACCACACCCAACTACATACCACCAACTACCACCACATATTACCATCATACTATCATATCCTACCACACACACACTATAACCAATATTACCACATCCTAACCAATCCTACCACATACTACTCAATTATACCTGTATATTCACCACACCTGAATTCTTATCACCGCGGTTAAATTCTTGTTCGACACACTTAGACATTCATAAAAAAAATCAATGAATTCTTATATGATTATTGTATCTTGGTGACCGATTGGCGAAAACTAATAAATATTCTGCTATTATGTCGGTTTATAGAGGCTTAAGCGTGTGGGATGATGGGTGAATTGGGTGATGTCATAGTATTATTTACAAACACTGGCGCCTCGTAACATGATCGAATCCCGCCACGATTTAGAATATTGTAATGTTTTGTTTTTTTATATGGTGATCTTTGATTTTAGTCTGTGTATGTATGTATGTATGTATGTGTGTTTTACCAAGAAACTTCAAGAACTAACCAACCAGAACCAGTATAACTTCAGTATATGTGTGTGTGTGTGTGTCACTGCAAGTCACTTATTCACGGAATCAATATGTGTACGTATGTAAGGAAGTTATTGACCTTAAACAAGATAAATGTTTCCTTCGTTACACTTATAAGTTACTCAAAAAGTCACATTGAAAACCCATAAAGAAGTTCGACAACAGACCTCTCAGTAATTACGTGTTGGCCTGGTAAATAAACACAGTGTTATTTTGTCACTCCTTCCCAGCCCGCCATGAGCAGCTGGTGGTGGTGACGACAACAATATCTCAATAAGTAATGAATGAGTCTTGGCCGTGTGTATGAGCGTCACAGTGTGAATTATGGACGTGTCAACATTTATGGCTGTTCATTTTCAAGACGAATGTTACCTATTGATATCATTTGCTCGGCTTTTCTTGTGTACTGAGTGGTGTGCTCCTGGCAATGATGGCGGTCCGTCGGTCTCCTTCCCACCAGCCAAAGAGCCTCTGAGCTGTTGTACTACAGGAAAGCTAGGTGAGTAGGGGGTGTATTTATACGTGTGTTACTGTAGTCTAAAGGTAAAAATTAGGATATTTATTTCCATATTCTTACTATCATCCCACAAAACATATCACTTACTTACCGAAGGATTACATTAGTTGACATTAATTCACACTAACTCAGTAATTTACCTATTACTATACTGTATTATGTCCACATTATGTCAAGGAATGTATCCTAGAAGACCGTTCATATAACGTTAACTTGTGGATTAATTTTTAGATAAGTAATATACAGTATATGTAGCGAGGTGTGTTAAGTATGTGTGTACTTTTAACTCACAATAACACTGCAAACATATACAGTAGTATATCATGGCAGTGTTTGTATCATGGTGGCAGTGTTTGTAGTATGGTAACAGTGTTTGTGTCATGGTGCCAGTGTTTGTGCTGTGTTGACAACACCCACTGGTAAGAACACCCACCTATAAGAACAACACCCGCTGGTAAGAACACCCACCTATAAGAACAACACCCGCTGGTAAGAACACCCACCTATAAGAACAACACCCACTGGTATGAACACCCACCTATAAGAACAGCACCCACTGGTAAGAACACCCGCCTATAAGAACAGCACCCACTGGTAAGAACACCCACCTATAAGAACAACACCCACTGGTATGAACACCCACCTATAAGAACAACACCCACTGGTAAGAACACCCACCTATAAGAACAACACCCACTGGTAAGAACACCCACCTATAAGAACAACACCCACTGGTAAGAACACCCACCTATAAGAACAACACCCACCTATAAGAACAACACCCACTGGTAAGAACACCCACCTATAAGAACAACACCCACTGGTGAACACCCCCTATAAGAACAACACCCGTAGAACACCCACCTATAAGAACAACACCCGCTGGTAAGAACACCCACCTATAAGAACAACACCCACTGGTGAGAACACCCACCTATAAGAACAACACCCACTGCTAAGAACACCCACCTATAAGAACAACACCCACTGGTAAGAACACCCACCTATAAGAATACCTATACTGTAAGAACACCCACCTATAAGAACAACACCCACTGGTAAGAACACCCACCTATAAGAACAACACCCGCTGGTGAACAACACCCGCCTATAAGAACAACACCCACTGCTAAGAACACCCACCTATAAGAACAACACCCGCTGGTAAGAACACCCACACCTATAAGAACAACACCCACCTATAAGAACAACACCACCTATAAGAACAACACCCACGCTAAGAACACCCACCTATAAGAACAACACCCACCTATAAGAACAACACCCGCCTATAAGAACAACACCCACTGCTAACACCCACCTATAAGAACAACACCCAACACCCACCTATAAGAACAACACCCACCTATAAGAACAACACACCCACCTATAAGAACAACACCCACTGGTAAGAACACCCACCTATAAGAACAACACCCACTGGTAAGAACACCCACCTATAAGAACAACACCCACTGGTAAGAACACCCACCTATAAGAACAACACCCACTGGTAAGAACACCCACCTATAAGAACAACACCCACTGGTAAGAACACCCACCTATATACGTGGTTGGGAGCCAGATGTAGCGGATAATGTCAGGTGCTACGTTGAGCCAGGCGTTGTCAGGGAGGTGCGTGGGGGCGTTGAGGCCGGAATCTGTCCAATAGAGCCGGATGTACCATTCTATAGTCAGGTCCTGCATCACCGCGGTCACACAGGGGCGATAGGAGATGACATTCAGTGAGTGCCAGGTCATCCAAGGTCATGTTAAAGGCATCATAGATCACATAGTAGAAGGAAACATTATTGTTTTGAAGGTCATCCGGGTCACGGCCACACCAGGTCCATCGTGGGTTTATGGCAGTTTCGGGTCATCCACAGGACATCAGGGTCACCCCAGATGCGAACCACAGCAGAAAAAAATATATAAAAAATCTAATGTATTAAAAGTTACTTAAAAAACATTAATGAATCACAATTGTCCTTCATTTTGTTTACTCAGTCATTATAATATAAACATCACAACACTCACCATGTTTAGTTCGTCTATCTTCTGAATATCCCGGACCTTAGCACTTATGAACACCGGCAGCGGTCCTGTAGGGGTACAGTGACAACATTTAGTACACACACTGACAATACTTAGTACACTTAATATACACACTTACAACACTACTACCACCATCACCATCCACAACAATAACCACCACCATCACCATCCACAACATTCAACACTACCACCATCATCATTATCACCACCACCAATACCATCCACAACATTCGCCACTACCACTATCATTACCATCCTCCACATCATTCACCACCACCATCATCATCATCACCATCACTCACCACCGTCCTTAGTAAGCGGCAGGACATACTGGTCGTAGCCGGCTGGGATGATGGAACTCAGGGTGGGATTCCTAGGCCGCCCAGGGGTAAATTCTTCCGATCCTGGACATCCTCCGGTGCCTTCGTCAGGTTTACCGTTCATCTGGGGCATTTGAGGGTCAGAAGAGTTCACTTGGGGGTCAACTGGAGTCGCTTGTCGTCTTATCCTCTTTGGTGTCCCCAATAACAAGGTTTCTCCCTCACTGTAAGACACAGCCACACACACACACACGTTACTAAAATATCCATGAAAATCTGATAATCAAACTCCAGCAGTATTTATTTCTTCTTTGTGATGGCTTTGGAGAATTACCCATGGCACTGAACCTACTGATTATTACTCACAATTGACCAGAATACTCACGCAAGACTCGTCAAGGACGCCATGAATAAGATACAAGTGGAGGAAGCGAATGAACTGTGTAAAAATAGCAGTAATAAAAGTGACAGAATGTAGGGAGAGCCATACAAGGAGTGAAGCTGGTGAATGGTGAAGAAAAAATAATCGAATTTTTCCATGGAGTAAGGGGGTGACATAATGGCTAATGACGTGCTAGAAGACCATGGAAATAGATAGAAGAGATAAAGTGAAAATTAAAAATAATCTGACCGTGAGGAAGAGATAGAGACAATGAAGGAATGGTCGTTTATGAGGTGAACTTATAATATCTCTTTTGCTTTCTTTATTTATCTCTTTCTTTCTTTCTCTCACTCACTCTCTTTGTTTCTCTGCATAAAATCGAGGCCATCAATAGTTTTATTTTATTGGTCTACATGCTCGTGTGTCCAGCGGCTTGTTAATAATCCAAGAATGATGGCGTGTTATACTCCTCTTCGCCAGGGTGTAGTGCATAGACCACGTCCTTCCATGCCACTCTTTGAGACGTGTGTGTGTGTGTGTGTGTGTGTGTGTGTGTGTGTGTGTGTGTGTGTGTGTGTTATTATTATTAGCCATTTTGATTTTTAAGGTTCTTCTTCTTCTTACATTCTTTTCTTTCGGCTCTTCAATCTTCTCTCTTTCATCCGACACTTTCTTATCATCCGTTCCCCCATCCTCTGTCCCTTCCTATTCACACCCCCCCCCCCTTCCCTCCACCTCCTCTTAACCTTTCCCTCTCATAGATGTAAATATTAAGAAGAGATGGTGTGAGATATGACGAGAGATGATGAGTGATAATGAAGTGATGCTGAAGAGATGAGATAATCAAGATATGCTGGGAGATAATAGAGATAATGAAGTGATGCTGTAGAGATAGTTTTACCTGCTGCCTCTACAGGTGTGTACTAACAGAGACACAACCACTCCAGTCAGTAGAGACATCTCCATGGTCTCTAGCTGGGTATCTACTGACGGTTTCTAATGACAGGATTCTCTTAGGAGGTCTCTTAATGGTCAGAAACTGAGTCTCTTGGGTCTCTTGTAACTAAAATCCCCCCCCCCCAAGGTTTCTAATGCTCGCAAGTGACAATATGATGTAATTGAGCTTTTCCAAATATGGTTTCTAGTTCCTGAATATCCACAAAAGACGGTTTTCATCAAAGGAATCTCCTCAGATGGTTTCTAGAAGAATTATGATGCTATAAGGACTATAATGATTGAGAACAGGTGGTTTCTAGTTGTTGAATGTCCCCAGAGCGATATTTTGCGTCGGCAAACGGACGGTCTCCGGTATTTGAATATCCTAAAGCAGTCGGTTTCGAATTTCGTTGTTCAATATTCTCATAAGGTTTCTAATTCTGCAAGCAGAGGGTTTCTAGTAGATAATAATGCTAATTAAAATTTGCATTGGATTGCTCCCCAGAGGTTTCTAGTAAACAAACGTTTACAAGATATTCAATGGTTTCAGATATTCTCAAACAGGCCATATCAAGTAGCTTCGAAGAAACCGATCGTCCAGAAAGTAAAAGTCTCAAGGAGTTTGATATTTCCAGAAGATTTCTAATGTCCACAAACATCTGGTTTCTAGAAGTAGGCTGTCCAAAAATAGTTACCAATAGCTGAACCTGAATCAGTAGAAGGTTTCTATTATCTAAATTCTTGTGGTATTCAACAGATGTTTCTACCAGATTAATGTCTTGAGTAGGTTTCTAGTAGTTCAATGTCCTTACGATGTTTCTATTATTTAGGTGTTCTAAGAAGGTTTCTAGCACGTGAATATTCCAATGGTGTCTTTGATTTAACACAATTCATATGGTCTCTGGTAGTTCAACGTCCTAAAGTGGTTTCTAACAGGCTGTTCTCAGTATCTGAATCTCCACAAACAAACATCCGTACATGTTTTCTAGAAAGTGTCACAAACAGGCGGTTTCTAAAAGTCTTATGAACTCATATAAAAAGTCGTTAAAACACGAATATCCACAAAATAACGGTTTCTACGACATTGATACGCTCAATGGTTTGTCTTAGTTCAGTGTCCACTAACTGAATGTTCTAGAAATTGAAGGTTTCTATCAACTTTATATACCCAGGCGGTTTCTAGGAACTGAGTATCCACGTCAGAGTTCAGTTATCAGGGTGAGTGAAGACGTGAGTGAGCGAGAGAGCGGCCACTGACGGAGGAAGAGACGCGCTGCTACCGACCGAATCTGTTGAGATACTGAACGATTGCGGCGTCTTGAGCTGCCTTATATACCTGCCGCCACTATTACCTGCCTCTACACCTTCCTTCACCCAAACCCCCTCACCTCTCCTTCCCCCTCATCCCTACCTCCCCTCATGCCAACCTCTCCTCACCCTTACTTCCCCTCATCCCAACCTCCCCTCATGCCAACCTCTCCTCAACCTTACCCCCTCAATCCCTTCTCCCTCACCCTGCCTACCCTTACTTATGAAACAGTTTACAGTGTACATTTAACCACGTACACAAGCCATTTGCCAAGGACATTGATACAGCCAAGAACGTCGACACAGCCAAGAACGTCGACATAGCCAAGGACGTCGACATAGCCCATGGACGTGGACACAATCAAGAACGTCGACACAGACATAAACGTCGACACAGCCAAGAAAGACGACACAACCAAGAACGTCGACACAGCCAAGAACGTCGACACAGCCAAGAACGTCGACACAGCCAAGAACGTCGACACAGCCATGGACGTCGACACAGCCAGCCACGTTTGAGCCCCAAGACACAGACAGACAGACAGACAGACAGACAGACAGACAGACAGACAGACAGACAGACAGACAGACAGACAGACAGACTCCACTCGGTCTTTTTCACATTTCCGTCAATATACAGTATACCTTAATTATTCACTCTTCCTCCCTCCAGTGTTCGATGCTACAAAAGACGAGAGCTTATACGGATAACATGAGTCTGAGTTATTCACAAGACTATTGGGAAACAGACGAATCCATCATGAATATTTGGCGCCCTCCACACACACACACGCACACACACACACACACACACACACACACACACACACACACACACACACACACACACACACCGCCTACTACTCAAGGACTCACTTGATACAACTCAAGGAACTCACTAGCTACGACTCAAGGAACTCACCAGCTACGACTCAAGGGACTCACTGGCCACGACTCAAGGAACTCACCAGCTACGACTCAAGGGACTCACTGGCCACGACTCAAGTAACTCACTAGCTACCACTCAAGGAACTCACTAGCCACGACTCAAGGAACTCACTAGCTACGACTCAAGCAACTCACTAGCTACGACTCAAGGAACTCACTAGCTACGACTCAAGGAACTCACTAGCTGCACCTTAGAAACTGACTGTCATACACAAATACTATTGATTGAACTTAAGAAAATAACATATGCGATTCTATTTCATGTTGAATCTATATCCATCATTATTAAGAAATTACGAACTCGGACAGCGTATTTTAGGCGAATTTCTAGTCTGAACTCACCAATCTGGGCCAATCTCTACCTTAAACTACCTATTATGGGCCAATCCCTACCTTAAACTACCTATTATGGGCCAATCCCTACCTTAAACTACCTATTATGGGCCAATCTCTGTAAACTACCTATGGGCCAATCTCTACCTTAAACTACCTATTATGGGCCAATCCCTACCTTAAACTACCTATTATGGGCCAATCCCTACCTTAAACTACCTATTATGGGCCAATCCCTACCTTAAACAATTTATTATGGGCCAATCCCTACCTTAAACTACCTATTATGGGCCAATCCCTACCTTAAACTACCTATTATGGGCCAATCCCTACCTTAAACTACCTATTATGGGCCAATCCCTACCTTAAATAGCATATTCTGAGGGCAGGTAACATCCCAATCAATATTTTCTACTTTTCTCTTCTGTTTCTGAACCGAACTTGGCCAATCCCGGAGGCACAGTGCATCATGGTTTGATGCCTTTATTCGGCATATAATGTTTTTTTTTTCTTTATTCCCAGAAGAAAAACAAAAGTGTCTCTTGGTTTAACATTCTCCTACGAGTTATTTAGGTTTCTTCTTATTTTTCTTCTTGTTTCTTTTTTTCTTCTCGTCTATAGTTTTTCTTTTGTTACTAAATCACCTTAGTAATAAATAGCTGGGTTTTTTTTTTTACATTTTCTCAGGAGGTCTTCACATATTTTAATCGAGGTTGCGTATATAGATTGGCATGACTCTCTCTCTCTCTCTCTCTCTCTCTCTCTCTCTCTCTCTCTCTCTCTCTCTTGCATGTCTCGAGAAGCAACTCTACCGGGATTCATAACGCTCTATTGACTTAATGAGAAAATTATTTAAGGGTGATATATATTATTCCGTTTGTTATACAACTCACGTGTGTGCGTGTAAGTATGTGTAGATATGGATTCACTGATACACACATTCATACACAATTATAAATTCACTCACATTTACACATGCGCTTATAAACACACGCACACAGACGGACACACGTATACACACCCAAACATACAACTATATACGAATTTAGGTTTCATCACATTACTACCAAACCAGTCATGTGTTGTAACTCTGAAACTATTGATAATTGACAACTTGGTTATTTAGTCATTTATCTTTATTAATGTCTCAGGAATACACAACCCTGAGTTATGAAGGGTATTTACGGAACACCCTGTATGTTTATATGCCCAGAAATTAGTGTTATACCAAATGTAACTAACCTAAGCTAAGCTACCCTAACCTAACCTAACCTAACCTAAGCTAAGCAACCCTAACCTAACCTAACCTAACCCATCTACCTGTCAGTGGTCTTTGTAGGTAAGGAAAAATTATATCTTCCTAATCGACGTTTTGGGTTATGAAATAAATAAGGAAAACGAGGATTGAGGGTTTTGTCTATAGGCGATGGTGGAGGTGCAGTGAGATGGGGGGAGGAGGTGGGGGAAAGGAAGAGGAGGGTGGAGGAGGTGGGGGAAAGGAAGAATTGGAGGAGGTGGGGGAAAAGGAAGGGGAGGAGTGGAGGTGGGGGAAAGGAGGAGTGGAGGAGGTGGGGAAAGGAAGAGGGAGGTGGAGGAGGTGGGGGGAAAGGAAGAGGAGGAGGTGGAGGAGGGGGGAAGAAGGAAGAGGAGGGGGAGGAGGTGGAAAGGAAGAGGGGGTGGAGGAGGTGGGGGAAAAAGGGAAGGGAGGGTGGAGGGAGGGTGGGGGAAAGAGGAAAGAGGAGGGTGGAGGGAGGTGGGGGAGAGAGAAGGAGGAGGGTGGAGGAGGTGGGGGAAAGGAAGGAGGAGGGTGGAGGAGGTGGGGGAAGGAAGAGGAGGGTGGAGGGAGGTGGGGGAAAGGAAGAGGAGGGTGGAGGAGGTGGGGGAAAGGAAGAGGAGGGTGGAGGAGGTGGGGGAAAGGAAGAGGAGGGTGGAGGTGCTTATACAAAGAAGATAATGGAAGTGGAGGAAAGTGGAAGGAGGAGCAGGAGGTAAGAAAGGCTTGTCTAAAGAATATGATGGTCAGGAAAGGGGCGGAGGAGGAAGGGATAGCAAGAAGTTCTATTGCTCTTTTCGGAGTAACTTAAGAGATAGGAGTAACACACGTTCGTCAATAGTCCTATAACACGGTTAGGTTTAAGTGAAGCTTCGAGTATTGGTTCATTACTGCATCATTCACTTTACAAAGGGAAGAAGAAATCCAATCCCTACGTATTGACCCCAGGTGTTCGATACATGAGTCCGGGACAATAGAAGATCGACAGATAACAAGGCCAAGGGTGTGGTGCGGTCGAGGGTGTGGTGCGGTCGAGGGTGTGTTATGATCGAGGGTGTGTTATGATCGAGGGTGTGTTATGATCGAGGGTGTGTTATGATCGAGGGTGTGTTATGATCGAGGGTATTATTGCCGATGAGGAATTGTGATGATCGAGGGTGTGTTATGATCGAGGTGTGTTATGATCGAGGTGTGTTATGATCGAGGGTGTGTTATGATCGGGGTGTGTGTTATGATCGAGGGTGTGTTATGATCGAGGGTGTGTTATGATCGAGGTGTGTGCAGTCGGTGTGTTATGATCGAGGTGTGTTATGATCGGGGTGTGTTATGATCGAGGGTGTGTTATGATCGGGGTGTGTTATGATCGAGGTGTGTTATGATCGAAGGGTGTGTTATGATCGAGGTGTGTTATGATCGAGGTGTGTTATGATCGAGGGTGTGTTATGATCGAGGGTGTGTTATGATCGAGAATTGTGTTATGATCGAGGGTGTGTTATGATCAGAAGGTGTGTTATGATCGAGGTATTGTTATGATCGAGGGTGTGTTATGATCGAGGGTGTGTTATGATCGAGGGTGTGTTATGATCGAGGGTGTGTTATGATCGAGGGTGTGTTATGATCGAGGGTGTGTTATGGTCGAGGGTGTGTTATGATCGAGGGTGTGTTATGATCGAGGGTGTGTTATGATCGAGGGTGTGTTATGATCGAGGGTGTGTTATGATCGAGGGTGTGTTATGATCGAGGGTGTGTTATGATCGAGGGTGTAATATGATCGAGGTGTGTTATGATCGGTGTGTTATGATCAGGGTGTGTTATGATCGAGGGTGTGTTATGATCGAGGAATTGTGTTATGATCAGTGTGCTATGATCGAGGGTGTGTTATGATCGAGGGTGTGTTATGAAGTCGGTGTGAGAGGTGTGTTATGATGAGGTGTGTTATGATCGAGGGTGTGTTATGATCGAGGTGTGTTATGATCGAGGGTGTGTTATGGTCGAGGTGTGTTATGGTCGAGGTGTGTTATGGTCGAGGGTGTGTTATGATCGAGGGTGTGTTATGATCGAGGTGTGTTTGTGTGTTATGATCGAGGGTGTGTTATGATCGAGGGTGTGTTATGATCGAGGGTGTGTTATGATCGAGGGTGTGTTATGATCGAGGGTGTGTTATGGTCGAGGGTGTGTTATGATCGAGGGTGTGTTATGATCGAGGGTGTGTTATGATCGAGGGTGTGTTATGATCGAGGGTGTGTTATGATCGAGGGTGTGTTATGATCGAGGGTGTAATATGAACAAATGGAACGAAGTTCCCTTGTTGTAAATTCACAGTGGAAACAAGGTAGTTCCATCAACATAGGTAGTTCTCACTTAATCACTGTAAACTCAGTCGGGCCGGGCGGCTGCCGCTCCCGCCAGCGACCTTG